TGCAGTGCGATAGCGCGGCGCCGCCGCCGCCCGCCCGCCCGCAATGAACGCGTGGCGACGTGGGGCGCGCGCGGACCCTCGCCCGCACGCACGCCCCGGTTTTTAGACGCGACTACGTGTCCAGCTCTCTGCATGATGGTCTGGCTGTATTTTCAAACTCTGTTAACGCGTGTTTACTCGCTAACAAAATAAAACTAAAAAGTAATAATCACTTCTTAAAAAGGAGCTATTTACGATATACCATTGGCAACTTTCCCTTTGTCATAATTTTAGTCACCTAATTTTTAGCAAAATATAGTAAACCAAAAAGGTACTAAATATTACCTAAACATTCCTCCTTTTTCACATTACTTCACACGTACGTACGCACGCACGCGAGCGCACGTGCACGCGCATAAAATAGAATCAGCATTTTATAGAACTTAGAAAAATTCCGCATTCAGTATCACCACTTATAACAGTGTATTCGTCCTCTGGCCTCATTTCTTCGTTACACAATTTCATAGGTATTAAGGGATTAAGGATTGCATCGGGAGATGTGTTATCGTTCTCGTGATTGTCTAAAACGACAGTATAAGTAACTCTAAGTTTATCAATTTCTTGCTGGCTTCATAAATACCTTCAATAGATACTAGATATTGTATTAGGCTTCCACGGTCGGTGTCATATGGTTGCTCTTGCGTCAAATGCTTTCGGCTGTACGGGAGTCGTACAGCAAGGGACGTTCGCGAAAATACTTAGGTAACATTTTTTTAAATTGTTTGCATATACATAAAAATTCAACGTGAATCAATTACATTTACATGCTGTGGGTACTACGAGCGTGCGTCGTACGTGCGACGTTTACAGGAAACTAAGGTTTGATCCGTTCTGCGGTTAAATATGTTCCTTCCATTCCTTTTGATCAAAAGCAGTTTGTTTTGGCATGTAAAGCTGAGGCATATTGTTTATATTGTAAAAAATATTTACGTTTTTCTGGGAAGTATATTCTGGTATTTCATAAAATATGTATTTATGGAGTCAAACCTCCTGGTGCGAGACAGGTTTGACTCAGTGTAGAACTTAGTGGTGGCAGGTTTGACCACCATATAACAAATACAGGTAATGATAATTTTATAAATGAAGAATTACTGTAAATGAAAAGAAAAGATAGAACATTACCGAGACTACAACTTACATACTTTAAGTACAAAAATAACCCATTGAAAACCCTTTTTAATTGCAACCATGGAACGGATTTCTACATAAATACATATTTACTAAATACTCTAATATCTATACTAATTTGCATTATATTTATGTTACACAATGTGTAGAGTTGAAAAATGTTCCTATTATTTTCCTTGTTTCCATATTTTGGGTTTTGATACTATTTGAATAAAAACCCATATAGTTTTCATATTTCTTATAAAATCAGTCCGTATACTAGCATATTATACTTAACAGTGAAATTATATTAAATATTAAAATTGCATCTCAAAAAATAGAGCTTAAAAATGTTCAGTAGTTCCTGAAACATTAGAGGCTTTTTGAAAATTAGGGAGAATAGACAATGGGAAAGCAAGTTAAGAAACTGTTAATGTTGTAATTTATGGGGAAAATATATCCACCCACCGGCCATGAGGCCCTGTCTGAGGGGTCTGAGTGTCTTCAGAAGTGAAGAGGGACGCGAAGAGGCGATTAACTATTCTATTTGTTAGACAGATGACTTTGAGGCCTCGATGGTCTGTGGGAAACGCACCTATACTGCGATTTTTGGAACTCTGCCACTGACAGTATCAGCTGTTGACAGTTTCATTCATTCGGGAGATTGAACGTCACCATAGTGACATCACTATGGTGACGTTCATGCTCCAGATTGAATGAAACCGTCAACAGCTGATACCGTCAGGGGCAGAGCTGCATAAATCGCAATATATTTTAAGTATCCACACCATCCTTTCTTCTTCTCTCTGAAGCTGCCAACTGGAAATTGCATGTCGTGTCAGAGACTTGGGCATCAGAATTCAACTTACACAGCTCCTCATTGTCGGTTACAATCCATTCATAATACTGTGTCTGTACAGTTCTAATAATATTTCCATTAAACCAGTGCAAAATGTCAAAAGGAGTACAATCAGACAGTGCAAAATTAGA